CGTCAGCGAAAAAATTGCACGCCTCTTGGTAATAGGGACATAATGCATCATATGTATCATCAAAGGCGACTTTTTCATGCATTGTTGATAGGTTGGTTCAATCTTCAGGTCAGCTCAATCAGTGGGCGCTCCGTCGGCTATAGATCTTGCGCATTAAAACTACTGACAGCTTTACATTATCCGTTTTCACGACAGGTCACCTCGCACCTAATCTAACCAAGTGTGCACCAAACATCTTTTACTGCAAATATCTTCGTTTCAGGAATTAACCCGCGCCCTGGTGGGGTCTGTTTATAACGCGACCTGGTGGGGGGGGGCTATTTTTTGCCCCCCCTCGTATCTCCGAAACTACTGGACGGATCCGCAAAATTCAAACGGCGTTCGAAAGGCCTGTCAAATTTGTCGAGGAAAACCAAATTTCATTGACCTCGGGGTCACCGATGACGTCACAGGTCAGGTCAAAGATGAAATGTTTCACCGTTCACGGGTCTTCTAGGGAATGCGCTATAACACCGAGGAAAACGCATTTTGTCGAGAATCAGCGATAGGGCGTCAGTTGCCTAGTAGATATATTACTATTAGAGGTCACTGACAATACCAGGTCAGGTCACAGGTCAGGTCACCAAGGGTCACAGGTCAGGTCACATGAGCCCAACTTTACTAAGGTTGTGTGATGCATGTTTTATGGCCAATTTTTCATTTCCAACTCAATGGTATTGGTTATAAGACTATCAGGTACGGCTTAGGTCACTTTCTGGTGAAGTTCAGGTCAAGGTCAGGTCAAGGTCAGGACAAAAAAGGTCAAATTTTAAAGTTGATAGTTTTGCATAAAATGGGTATTGATTCGATGCAGCTCGTCACGGGGAGTCTAATGGTGGTCTTTGTTTTGCGCTACGGGGTCTAGAATTGCTAAAAATTGAGTTTGAAAATTTGACGTCATCAATTGTGAACAGTTTTTTCGCTATAACTTCGCCAAAAAAAGAGGTATCGATCTCAAATTTGGTATGTGGATGGAAGGCGGTAAGGACTATCACATATATTCCGGTTTTTGCGAAATTCAAAAAACTTTTTGGATTTTTCGATTATTATATGCAAAAAATTTATTTTTTGATTTTTGGGGGTCAAAGTCCAAAAATTTCAAAAATCCGAGATTACAGTTTTGTAGCCCTATTGATTCTACAGCTTTTATGTCTTTATCATTTTTCTGTATTTGCAAAGCTATAGGCCTGACAGCTCTTCCCGCGAAACCCTTTTTTGGGTCGAAAACGGCAGAACATGACGTCACTCTGACGTCATTTCCGGCCAACCTATCATAGCCTTTGGAAAAATTTTTGGTTACAATGTGTAAAATTGATGTCCGGGAGGGTACTGAAAGTTTGGTGACGATCGGCGCAGCGGTTCTGGAGATATATCAAAAAGTCTGGAGGGGGGGCAAAAAATAGCCCCCCCCCACCAGGGCGCGGGTTAACATCAGTGCTTTAACCTTCGCCCCAGTGGGGGGGGGGGGACATATGTTACCACTTACCCTCCTGTCGCGTTTTTTGCGTGTGAATATAAAACCGCGGCGCGTGGCGCCGCGCCGCTTGGGGTAGCTTTTGGTACATCAATTTTGGACAATGTGTAACATTTTTGACCCCAGATCATGTCAGGTCAGGTCACCAGGTCAAGCTGACTGACCAAGCCTAAAAAAGTTTGGAATCATGTCCAGCCTGCAGTGTTTGTCAGAAAGCTTTTAAACTTGGTGGATTGCATGCTGTTATGGGCGCCTACAATTTGTTTATCTCGGATTTTTTATATCCGTGACCTAAGGTCAGGTCAGTAGCGTGACCTTTCCATTACAAGTCAATGGAGAAAAATGAAAATGCCTCCAGATCCATGTGTACGCATAGGAACAGTCCAAATATTTCAGAATCACAGTGATTTGGATCACCCGTGATGATATGGGTGTCATTTTCGCTGATAGCCTCTACAAAGGTCATCCGAGATCATTTGAGGCTACAAACAGATTTTTGCCAATAACTCCCGATTGGAAAGAGATAGAACGCTGGGGATGGTCTCATTGTGTTTGTCTTGTTGAGACGCATCGACTGATATGCAACATGACCTTTTCCGGTCAGGTCATGACCTTGACCTGAGGTCAAATTTTAGAGTTGACATTTCAAGGTCAACTTATAGTTCATTCGACGCGTCTTGGCAAGAGGAACACGACTCTGGCAATAGAAATGTCGTGGTTTTTTGTAGTCGAAAGGTATTGTCGAAAAACACTTCGTAAAAACAGCTATTTTTGGAGTTTTTGCCCTCTGGAAGCTAAACCGTTGACCTGAGGTCAATTTTGATACTGACCTTATCAAAAGAAGAATTTAAAAGCTATCGATTGCTGTCCCATGTGGTTTTCTAACTACCATAGTTCCTGAGATAACGGCATGTTTTCTGAAAAATGTGACAATTGGCAATTTTTGACCTTTGATGACCTCTGGTGACCCCAATATTGCTCTGACATGAAAAATGACTGAAATACTTTGAGTTAGAGGTGGGTGGTAACATATGCCCCCCCCCCCCCCCACTAGGGCGAAGTTGGCTGAGACCGCCACTGGGGCGCGGGTTAATCGATAATACTGTCTGATACTTTGACAAAGCAGGCATATAAGCAATCAGTGCAACCCTAGCTGATAGCTGCTAAAAACAAACTGAACCTAATTTAACCAAATGTGCACCAATTCTTCACCAAATCTGCACCAATTGTGCACAAAATGTGTACCAGCTGGCCGTCCTGAAAACGGTTAATAGTTATGCTGCATGGGCGCCGAAACTAAACTAGTTCTCAGCAGTTCAAACGGGTAGTCAATTTTAAAACCAGCTCCAAAAACTACCCTAAATAGTTGAAATATTCAAACAGTTCAGTTGAGGTCATCAAAGAACCGTGACTTGACCAGCTTCACATGACCTTTGATGCACTCGCTAGGGAACTCCTGGAGACATTGACGGCAAGCATGCAAAAAATCACTAAGCGTAAGACAAGGACTAAGACTAAGCGTGCAATGACCTTTCAACAGTACGTGGTGAACTCTAAAAAAATCTGATAACTTTTGTATCTCAAAATTTCATGACCCTGACTCAAATGACCTTTGACCTGTAGCCTACTTTCCGAGACTATGTTTGGCCGGAATCGCGATTCGGCGTATGTCGGCTCGCATTAGCCGCGCGTTTGCAAGCTTTTCGTGGTTTCAAACGTTCAAACATGTGACTTGATGTTGCTCCCATGCATTAGGGTGGATTTCAAGGGCACCTGAAGGTCATGTCAGGTCATTGACCTTTGGTGACCTCGGTTCATTTTTTTTTCGAGTTTTACATGTTTCTAGGCTAGTTTTTGGAGCTGATTTCGAATTTAGCAACCGTTTGAACATTAACGAAGTATTTTTGGTGCCTTCGTAACATGCTACGTAGCTGTCAGAGGCGGTTGACAGTGTACTACGAATACCTACCCGTCACGACCCCTACTGGTTGACCTGACCTGACCTGGTCTAAACGCTTAAAGACATCATCTGTGATCAAACCTAACACGATATTCATGATCAGGACAGCGGAAAGCCCCATAGCATCCACACTTTACGACTTTCTAACAGGTCCCGATTTTTCCGATTTTTGGGTCATTGACCTGACCTGGAAGATCATCCGATGACCTAGGAGTCTAGGACCTTAAAATTGGATATCATTGGCTAGTGGCTACCTCTCGTGACGGGCAACACGATCGTTTTTTTCCGCGAAGCTCTAGCTCAATCAGGGGCCAACATCAGTCACCAACCGTGGCATATGGATATGCGTTGCCCAGTGGTAAGTACCTACTCACATGCCAAGTTTCAGGGCAATCACAGCTGTAATAGCCGAGTTATGGTAATGGGAAAAAATTGACACTTCTCTTTGCATTTTGCATGTGCAGTGGGGGGTCATCCACGTGCATCAAATGTATCCGAAGTTTGGTAGAAGGGATGGAACTACCCTACACAAATTACCGCAAGTCAATCGCCCCAGCAGTTGCTGAGATATAGGCCTCTCAAAGCGCTACTTCAACAGAGCAGCTTGAACACCCTCGACTTTTCAAGCGCCACGCGCCACGACGGTCACCAAGATGCATCAAGAGTAGTCAATTAAGGCGTAGAAGGCATTGGGCTTTACAACCAAAAAGACTGCAGGCTAATCGGCGCAGCGGTTGCTAAGCTTCAAAAACGTTACAGCTCAGGCCAGGGGGCCACTCATACTGGGATTGTACTTAGAGAGGTGTGCACGTGCGCACGTGAGCACGTGCAGAGCTACATTTTTCGGCTAATTGAAGATCGCGGCGACTTACTAGTTTTGGGGCGCACACAAAATGTAAACATGATTGGCCGACTGGCTTCCTAAATACAACCATAGAACTACGAACCTTATTCGAAAAAGTGGGCTCCTATTTTTCGCACTAAAACCGAGTGTCCAAACCAGGTAGTTCATGTTATTTACGAGTATGTTCAAGTACACAATCAAGTACGTTCGGGTACTCGGTGTAGCTATGGCATACATTGAAACTTTGTATGAGGTGAGGTCACTTCAAGTGACCTGAACTTGAATGGCCTTGGTCTGGAATTTTTACAACATGTTTAGAATTGATGTATGATCAGGTGTACAAAAAGCACAGGGGGAGGGGTTGCTCAACTGAAACACCCCCCCCCCTCAGCAGTGCGCGGGTTAACATTGCTATCAAGTTGGTCTGAAAAAGGCCAGTGGCCGAAAGATTACCGTTTTTTAAATATATTATTCGTTTTTTTACATTTTTTGATGTCGAGGAAAAGGTCAATTTCTTTCATTTCTTTGTTCAATTATATTCAATATGCTCCTCACTCGAGCACTTAATAATATTAACAAAGTTCGATCAGTTTAGCGAGTGGAAGGAATATCTTCGTACCAAAAATTGTGCCAACAGATGTTTCTATCGGTGCTACAATGGAACGCTCCGTTGCTGTCCTTACCTGCGACAGAGGATGAGCTGCTGCCTCCTTGCTCCACGATTTTAGACAGCTCGGCCGACTGAGCAGGAGACGTCGAAACTGCCAACAAAGTGAGCTGTATGACTCACATAGGCAGAAAATGCATAAGAAATGTGAGCATTCGCCGGGACTATCGGTTTTCTACATACCCCTCGCCCAAATGGGCTCAATACCATAGACAATTATCATAGCATTTAGTTTCAGAGATAATCTGAGAAGCGTTAAACGCCCTCTTCCCCTAGCTCAGTCAACGGCTGAAAGTTTAATGAAATGCGGGATGAGCTTCACGTAAATTACTCTCATGCTTTAGTATGTTTCCTTATTCCTATAACTGGTTATTGAGTGTGCGGTGATTCTGCTCTCACTTCCGGGAGTCCAACGCTCTACCAGCTGAGCTACGGGAAATGCCTATTAAAATAATCCCAAAACACTTGTTGAGTGTTTCCACCTTTATTAAAACCGCGCAGGGCCGGTTTTAAAAGCGTCCAAAATCACGACGATAATACTGCAGTCATTTTTTATAGATCAGATGCCAGTTTTACCATCAGAAAAAGTCGCCTGCCGAAATGTTTCCGTTTCACATACGGAGCGTAAACGCGATGGGCACGTAGTTAATATAGTAGTAGGGCTTTACCGTTTACGCTCCGTATGTGAGGCGGCTTTTAAGCAAAAAATTCCGGCAGGCGGCTATTTTTCTGTTAGTAAAACTGGCCTCAGGTCAACGGTTACGTGACCAGGGTTATCAAAGGTAAAATGTTGCCTGATACAGCATGGAACATCGGTGCATAACTGGGGAAACAATAGATCTACAGCGCCACAGAAAAGCGCATTCAAAAACCTTTTTAACGCTCTTTCTGTAGCAAGCTCTCAGATTCGACTTGGGACCAACAGCTTAGCCTCGAGAGAGCAAAAACTAAAAAAAAAGTTTTCAAAATTTAACCTCAGGTCAAGACAAGAATATCACCTGACCGGAAAAGGTCATATCGCATATCAGTCGATCCGTTTCGTCGAGGTGAACACATGTAAGGTGGTTTCATCGCTCTAGCCCGTCTCTATCATACATTATTGCAAAAAAAAAAAACTGCTGGGGACCCTTCATGACCCTTCATATAATCGACCCTTCATGACCCTTCATATAATCGCCTATGGCGACAGGCCTGAATAAAATAACAATAGCAAGATATCGGGGACATAAGAATGGGTCACTCGATGTAGCTACGAGCATTTCAACTTTTTTTAGGAGAGGTCACTTGACGTGAACTGATGATCTGACCTTGGGTGACTTGGATCTGAAATTTAGACATGTGCCGAAAGGATGCATGAACGATATCTGCAAATAAAATCACAGAGGGTATGTCCAAGCACCCCTCCCTCGGCACGGCACGAGTAGGCCGCCCCACACTGGACCTCGCATGCGGGTTGCGAGTTTTTGGGTTTTCGGGTTTCTTCAAAATCAAATAATGCAATCTAAGCTGAGTGACCCACACTACCATCTAACAAGCGAGTCTGCATGTTTTTAGCTTGAGAGCGACCTTGCATCGCATTCCAAAAGTTGATTTTGAGTCAACTTGCGATTTTCCTCGCTGCGAGGTCTGCGAGTTCTGCGGGGTTTGCGGGTTTTTCGTTTGAGTCGAATTTTGGTTCGTTGCGCTGGTATTGCGACTATATGTAAGATTCTGACGGTGTACCGGGTTCACTGCATTCATGAAGTTATCATAAGGGAACGGTCTTGTCACTCTGTGAATTAGTATTATGCCCGCAAACTCAAAACCCGCAAACCCGCAACCCGCATGCGAGTTCCAGTGTGGGGCGGCCATTGACTGTCCACTAAACACTCGCAGCTGGCAGTTCTAAATAAATCTCAATAACGCTCCGCACAACCGCTGAAAACACCCTTCCACGTACTCTAGTATATGCAATCTAGCATAATCACTTACCAAGCACAACTTTACGATGAAAGGTTGGGGGCGACGTGAGCTCAGGTACCACAGGTGTAATGAACACCTCATAATCCTGATCGCTGGCCAGGTTGGGCATATCCCGCCCGGTCACTGACGAGCTGATTATCTGACGAAAACCCATCACACGCTGTCAAGCGTTAATGCATCTGAATTGCATGCAACTGATAATTAAGCACACATGCTAGAGCTTGCGTTAACTAATTGCAATTTGAGATGTGTATTTTAAGCATTTGAAATCGTTGAACAGCACTGTCTTTCTCACCTGATTGGTGATCCCCGACCCAGCTTCGCTGACAACCACTGAGAACATAAACTCAGGCACGCGCCAGCCATGTGATGTCATCGACCAGTTGGCCGTCAGCGTATTGTTTGCGCTGTCCCAGGACGACAACAGCACATCGGGCAGCTCGAACACTGGCGAAGGAGGGACGCCATAGTCACTCCAACACCGGCGAGGAAGGAACACCGTAGTAACATCGCTTGGACAACGCAGAGGCAAAATGAACGACAGAGATCAGAGACGCTTCCACAAATGACGAAAATGTCTTACTATAAGTCTTGGCATTGTTAAATATTCGCTGCTTATAGCAGATATTTGGAATGAAATTGCGAATCTGGGATAAAATTCGATGCCAACATCAACATGAAACAGTTGCATCATCGGATTGAATAATCAAACGCACGTAAGTAAATCTTCACAGTTTTGAAGAAAAAAACCCTTAACCCGCGCCCTGATGGGGGGCCATTTTGGCCCCCCCTATGGTTTTTCGTTAATAGCGAGAAAACGGCGGCGCGCAGCGCCGCCAAATTTTGGGTACGTACCTTACCGGGCATCAATTTGACACCTTCACACAAAATTTCAAGTCACAGGTCACCTCAGGTCAGGAGTTATTGAGGTCAAACTGAGGTCATGTTCGAGTAAAAATGAGCAAAAAACATGACAGTTTGAAACGCTCACCAATTCTACAGTTAACAAGCAATTTTAAAGTTCTTTATGTGGTTATGTAGAGAAAAGACGGCGCTACAAAACTGCTATGTCGGATTTTCGAAATTTTGGGATTTTGACCCCCAAAAATAAAGAAATGATTTTTTTTTTACAAAAACTCAAAAAAAACTCCAAAAAAATTTCGAATTTTGAAAATCCAGTATATATGTGATAGTCCCTGCGCTCTTCGATATACATACCAAATCTTAGATCGATACTTCTTTTTTTGGCCAAGTTATAGCGAAAAAACTGTTAACCCTAATAGTGGCAGGGGGGTTGTTTTTATCCACCCCTCAGGTTTTTCGGGAATATCTCCGAAACCGCTGAAGCTACGATGCTGAAATTTTCTGACTTTTCCTAAAACTAAATTGGGCACATTCTCTGAAAATTTCAAGTTCATAACTTTACCAGGGGCGGCTCCAGAGCACTGGGAATTGGGGGGTCCTATTCGTGAAGCGAGTCATTTGGGCGAAGATCACGATGCTGCACCAGTTTTACGAACAGTGAATGAAAGGTATCATGTGATAACATATACAAAGTTATTGTGCATCCTCTTTTGACACGTTTTTGCTATAATAGGCGGATCCAGGCGTCCAAAAAGGGGGGTTATTTTTTACCTCCCAACATAGGTGCCCTGACACCGCCTATGCATGACCAATACAATTTTAGTCGTTCTCTCATAAGAAAATTGTAACATAACAAGACCATTGCCACCCTTTTTAGAAACAGTACCAACAAAAACCTTATTTACTATACTTTTTGTGTACCCCCAATCTCAATGATCTGTATCCGCCTATGATTTTTGAAAATGCATATTTTTAGGATCCATGTGAATTCCTGGTTCATTCTCTATCGATCGGCAAAAGTTGTGTTAAGATTGGTTCAGAAACCTGGCCGTGATAAACAGTCTAAAATGTATCTGCAATTTGCCCGTTTTTACCCCCCTCTACCCCCTATTGACATTTTTTAATTTTATTTTTTTTTAGAAATGTAGATCCCGTTGAGCGAAATCGAATGCCGTTTGAATTTTGAAAATCGGCCCGTTAGATCTCGAGATATCAAGGGGGGTCGTAAACAGCCCCCCCTGCCACTAATAGGGGTAGCCAGGAGCCTGCCACTAATAGGGTTAAAAATTGATTACGTCAAATTTTTGAACTCAATTTTTGGCAATTCTAGACCTCGTAGCGCAAAACGGAGAACACCATTGAACGCCCTGTGGCGAGCTGCATCGAATCGATACCCATTTTATGCAAAAATATCAACTTTGAAATTTGACCTTTTTTGACCTGACCTTGACTTGACCTTAACCTGACCTTGACCTGACCTTGACCTGACCTTGACCTGACCTTGACCTGACCTTGACCTGACCTTGACCTGACCTTGACCTGACCTTGACAAAAACGTGAACTAAGCTGGCCCAAAAGTCTGCCTGACCCACATAATCGCATTTGTCATGTAAAATGGACCATAAAACATGCATGTATCACACGATACTTTCATATTGTGACCCCCCCCCCAGTGACCTGACCTCTGTGACCTGACCTGGTATCAGTGACCTGAAATAGCAAAATATGTGTTTTAAGAACATTTCCCCATCGATGATTTTCAATGAAATGCATTTTACTCGATTTTACAACGCATTTCTTGAAATGCCTGTAAATGGTGAAAATTCGACCTTTGACCTGAACTGTGACGTAATTGGTTTGACCCAGGTCAATGAAATTGCGTCACAAGTTAGTTCCCCGTTGGGGCTATCCAACGCCGTTTACCGCTTGTCGCTATGTTGCGTGGTTCTCGAGATCTTAGGGGGGCATGGGGGGGGGCAAAATGCCCCCCCCCCCCATCAGACCGCGTTGCTCGGCAGACCCCATCAGGGCGCGGGTTAAGAACTTAATCATATATCACCGTTAGGTAGACATGGACAGCAACATAGCAAAATGAGGTAGCGTCCCTTAGGCAGTAGTGATATCCAGTCGAACAGCCCTTTAAACAGAGGCACATGTATGCTGTGAAATATGTACCGTGTAGCGTAGTGCATGCTTTTGCGCTTATTGCTGTCATCAAGCTTTTATGAAAAGTAAGTCCCGAGTTAATCGGGAAACTTTCAATTACATGAATAGGAATATGCATAGAAGTCACAAACTGCATTGTTTCTGTGCAGCAGTTGTCATTTACCTCACCCAACATAGGGTGAGGTAAATGTATAACTGTGGTGCCCCTAGCCGAAGGACATGTGCATCCATCAGCACAGGGTCGCACAGGCGCGGCGATCGTTCCACGCTATTGGTAATTGAATCGCCGCGCGGCTGCCCAGTAACGAGCCTGACACGCTCAATGGCCTAATGGGTATGCTCTGGTGTGTAATGACGCCCACGGTGCGCCGCCAGCGCTAATACCTATCGCCGACAGCAAACTAATTTATCGTAAGCTTGGGTACATCATGCTACGGCTAGTAAAAAAGCCAACAATGAAGCGAAAATTGGATAGTTATTAAGGCCACGTTCAACAAATAATTTATTTGTATTCGACCAACATGCCTTTATGAAATCAAAATCAAATTAAGATAGTTATAGGCATCGATTCCCAAATTCGCCAAAGAAATGGTCTTGGAGCCAATGTGAATTCAACCGATAACTGGGACTTCATTGGCGTCCCACGCCGTCCGGTGTGCCATGAGTGTCATGAGTGTCACCCTAGTGTAAATTACCAGCGCTGTCCGCTGCGTCATCTGTGTCTAACCTGCGACTCTTACCTGCGCCGTCGGCTACGTTATTAGTGGTTTACCTGCGCCGTCCGCTGCGTCATTAGTGTCTTACCTGCGCCGTCGGCAGCGCAGCGCTGCTGGCCGTCCGGACAGCCGAGTTTGGCGCGCACGCTGTACTGAGCCCAGGGGAACTGCACGCCAGCAATCTGCACCCACAGCAGGAGCTCGTACGCGGCGCCCCACAGTGGCCGTGCCACCGTCCAGCGCGTGCCCGTGGTCTCTCCGCGACTGGCCACGTGCTCGGAGCCCTCTCTATGAAGCACCTCCAGGGCGAACCGGTCCACCGGCAGTCTGCAGCCAGACCGCACAGACGAGAATCAGATACGACAGGTGGAGTCTGCTACACGGGATGGCATAGCAGCTAAATAGCTAAGTCTGCAAACTGCATTACCTGGCTGGGACAATTATTCGATTTGGTGGAATAAAAAAGATGTACTTATTTTACATCCCAGGGCACAAAAATTAGTGTGCCCTGGGATATTGTCCTTATAGCCATGTCAGGTCATACACTTTCAAGATAAAAATTAACAGGACACCTTGTGTTATGCGCCGCGTTTACTTTTTCAACACGCAAAACACTGGCGAGTGTGGCCGGAAAGACCCCCTCACCCACCCTAGTGCAAAGCTTATGTTTAGAGCCTGTAGTGTTTGCCGTTGCTCTCTGACCTGGAAATGACAGGCGTCTCTCCGTTGTGCAGGTTTGCGGACAGTGGCTGCCACATTATATCCAGCCATCCACGAGCGTCGGCTACGTGCCAGATGCGCGGCGCGGGCAGCCATCCTGGAAACGGGGCAGACCAGCGCATCGGCAAACGGGTGGACCGAGAGCATCAACAATGGTCAGAGCCACGGCTCAAAACGGGTAAATCATAAATAGGTCATACGTATATCTTAACAGGAAGGCCATGGGGACACTCTCCAAGTAACTAACTAGTCGATGCGTTCAATCACACCGAACAAGTGATAGGTGAGCACTTGTAGCGCGACGCCAGATGTCCAACCGATTGTTGGCCTCTTATGCATCTGCACTTAATTCTTTTGTTGGCCTGTTATGTCTGTGCACTGAATTTCAACATAGAATAGCGCGACAGGAAGTTTTAAAGGCAGAATTACTCAATATGGTCTGGTGAATTGACCTAATTAGATTTGGGATCAGAATGATAAAACATGAAAAATGCTCGTTATGCTCGTAAGCAATCCGAAGTTTATTGTCGTTGCGCGCCGCAGTTTCCCTTAAACACATTTTGGAGATTTCACGGATTTGAAACACAATTTAAGAAATCTTAGTAGGTCTAAAAATATTTTGAATGTCATATTTTTGCATCCTTAAAATCCTTTTGCAATACTTAAAAAGTTTATTGTACGAAAATGCTGCAAGAGCTTAAAACAGCAAATTAATTTAGGTGCAACGTAACTTAATTTGAACTTGTGACTTGAAACTAAGTGATCTGGATTAAAATGCTTCTACGCTGAATTAATATTTCTCCCAGACAATAAATTACCTGGAAAGGTAGGTTTTATTACATCGGCGTTCGGTTTACAGCTTCCTTGCTAGTAATGTATCCTTAACCCTCGCCCGCACATGGGGGGGGGGGGTTGCCCCCCAAGGTAGTCTTTCTGCTCTGCACTCAACATTTTTAGAGATAGAGGGCTGATTTTTCGTATAGTTGCTCCTCTATCCTTTCTTGACGTCCACTGAAAATTTAAAGTTTCTGTGGTTTTTGGTTTCGGAGATATGACCTTGTTTTTCAGGTCATGTCAAGATCCAAATGGCCAATTCTCAACATCTTGCGTTGGCTATGGGCCTTGTGAGCTTTTGACACCTTGATTTCGGCCTTTTTTGCCAGTCTTACCTCCCATATATCATGGAACATGTTGTTCGACGATGTACAGATGTCAAGGTCAGGGTCAAGGTCAACCTAGGTCATCTAAGATAATTGCGTTTTAGGCAAGCGGAATTTACTTTTTATGAAGTTTTTTGACTGCATTTTTGGTAAAAGTTTCTCAGATCATGATTTCATGTAATATGGACACATAAACAATCGGTGCACACATCAGTATACTCACAGACACACACAGACATACAAACACATATAACTGACCTTGACCTAACTTGACCTGAAAATTGAAATGACCTCAGCAGCAAAAATCTGGTCGGGTAGTGTGCCAAAGAGGTTCTAGCTGGCTTGGCACCAGAAAACGGCATCGTCATCGGCATATGATAAGCGGCGCACTTGATATCCAACGGTGACCCAAAACAGCAACATTTTTTAGTTTGACCTGACCTGGAAGGTCAATGACTGACCTGAGAAGGTAAAACTGGGTACCATTGGATTCGTCTTTTCCCAAATAATTTTTTTGGTCTTTACCGCTAAGCTCTATCTCCAACAAGAACGAAATGGTGCGGGGGGGGGGGGTGGCAACCCCCCCCCCATGTGCGTTCTAGGATGGGAAAATGGCATGTGCGGGCGAGGGTTAATGGGTTAACATTAACCCTCGCCGAGACAGGCTGGCACAAGGGGGAGGGGGGTTAGCACGACCCACCCCCCTTGCGTTTGGCCCCTGATCGAGCTAGAGCTTCGCGGAAAAATACGAGCATATTGCCCGTGACAAGAGGAAGCCGATGATACCCAATTTTAAGGTCCTAGGTCATCGGTTGACCTTCCAGGTCAGGTCAATGACCCAAAAGTCGGGAAAATCGGGACCTGTTGGAACGTCGTAAAGTGTGGATGGGGTTTTTTCGGGGTGCTGATCACGAATATCATGTTAGTTTTGAACACAGATGATTTCTTTGTGCATTTATGCCAGGTCGGATCAGGTCAGGTCAGCTCAACCAGTAGGGTTTTTTTTCTGGGTATTCCTAGTACATGTCAACCGCCTCTGACAGCTTCGTAACATGTTACAAAGGCACCAAAACTACTTCGTGAATGTTCAAATTGCTGTTAAATTCGAAATTAGCTCCAACAAACTAGCCTCGAAATATGCAAAACTCGAAAAAGTGAACCGAGGTCATTAAAGGTCAATGACCTGACCTGACCTTCATGTGGCATTGACATCCACCCTTATGCATGGGAGCAACATCAAATCACATGTTTGAACGCTTGAACCACGGAAAGACTGCAAGCGCGCGGATAATGCGAGCCGACATACGCCGAATCGCGTTTTCGGCCAAACATGGCTTCGAAAAGTAGATCAGGTCAAATATCATCTGGGTCAGGGCCATGAAATATTCAAGGTAGGTGTTTAACCCGCGCCCCGCTGGGGGGGGGGGCAGATTCTGCCCCCCCTCCCGTTTTTCGCCAATAACTTCTAAACGCGTTACGCCAGCGACGTCAAACTTTCAGTACCTTATCATACATCAATTTGACACGTTCCCTGAAATTTTTAGCGAAATCCGTCGGAAAATTGTTGAGAAAATGACGTTTTAGTGACGTCATGTTCGCCATTTTCGCCTCAAAAATGGCAAAATTTCAAACGCCGCTAACATCGTCATTTTTAAAGGAATCAAGACGCAACAAAAAAGGTTATACGTGATTCTACTTTGTCTATCAAATGGCTATCTCAGTTTTTTGAAAATTTTGGATTTTGGCCCAAATTTTTTCAAAAAATTGACTTTTTTGGGAAAATATTTATAAAATCCAAAATTTTGAGTGTATCGAAAAAACCGGAATATATGTCAAAGCGGTGGTCTATGTGCACCAACATACCAATTTTTAGAAGAATCGGTTCAAAAATGTGGAAGTTATTCAAAATTTTCTGACGTCACGACACACAAAAATTTTGAAAAATGATTTTTTTTGGAAGTTCTAGACCTCGTACGGAAACAAAAATAGCACCATTCGATTCGCCGTCAAAAACTGCATCAGATAGACACCTTTTTAGGCCTTAACAACCAACTTCAAAATTTGACCTCAGTTGACCTGACCTTGACCTGACCTCGACCTGAAATTCATGCAGAGGTGGTTCATATCACTTATTGAGTGTGCCTATTGAATTCTATGAGTAAAATGACCCATAAAACATGTGTCGCACATGCCCTTTTCTATATTTTGTTTTTGGTGACCTGACATGACCTGACCTGACCTTGACCTTGACCTTTGAATGACATTGTATGCAACGAATATTGTCTTGGTAGTCTAAGAACACGTTTTGGGCAATCAGTCTCAGTCCATTCTTCGGCAACTACGGTGCAAGGCCGATACTGTAGAAACTTGCATCTTGTACCCTTGACCTGACCTTGACCTGACCTCTGACCTACTTAAGCAAAAAAAATTGGGCTCTTAAGATCCGCCTTGTTGAGAGCTTTCGATTGCCGTTTTCCCCGTCTTTCTACGACCATCGGTTCGGAAGTTAGACAGGGGGGGCAGAATCTGCCCCCCCCCAGCAGGGCGCGTATGGCTGAATAGCCCAGCGGGGCGCGGGTTAACCCTAGAACGCCTAGGGGGGGGGTTGTATCAACCCCCCCCCTGAGGTTTTTTCAAAGTGCACGCTAAACGGCTTGTCGTAGCGGGCTGAAATTTTCAATGCCCTCTGGGGCAACCTTTGCGCATCTTTTGCCGAAAAAAAATTGATCGGGTCATGTCAGGTCACGGAGTTATGACGTCATAAGAGGTACAGCCTCCGGCCGGATTTTCACAAACTGAGTGCCAACGCCCGAGGTTTCCTGCCGGTGGTACGGACATCGGTTGATGGATCGTGATGAAACTTCCCATGCATGTTGGGGCAAGTATTGGCTATCATATGGTATAAGAAATTTGACCGGGTCAGGTCAGGTCACGGAGCTATGACGTCACAAGAGGAACAGCGTCCGGTACTATTTTTGAAAAGCGCCCGAACCACTATTTTGCTAATTCTTGTCACCTCAATGGGAATATGCAGCAATATTAGCTTCTATAGGGAGCAAATGGACCTCCCAAATCCAAAAATACAATCAGATTTCAAAAATTTAAATTTTGATTTTTCGAATTTCTGCCGCCGACTGTGACCTTGCCGACTTCCGGCGCTCCCAACGCGCCATTTTTAGAGCTAGGGAAACGAAATACATACCAAACGATAGAGAATTGATCAAGGAACACGATAGTGAAGGTTTCAAGTCGATATCTCCCACCGTTTTGCCGCAATCGCCGCCGAAAGTTGAAAAAAGTCTATTTTTCCGAAAATTTGACCTTTGACCGGTCAAAAGTAGGTCAAATGTTGACCTAGGACCAAAAAATATACCACCAATCGCGAGATCTCGTTGAGAGCAATCCGTTGGTTTTTTCCGCTAAGCTCTACGACCTTCCGTTTCGAAACGCCAGGGGGGGGGTCGTAACAACCCCCCCCCTGGTCGTTCGTGTTATGAGAAATGGCCTGGTCGTGCGAGGGTTAATTGATCAACACGATGGTACTGAAAGTTTTGTTGCGATCGGCCGCATATTCCGCGAGTTATTTACGAAAAACCTTCTAAGGTTTGTTGCAATCCCCTTCTAAGGAGGGTTGATGCAATCCCCCTAAAGGGGGATTGCATCAACCTTCCTGTGTCGGCGAGGGTTAAAAAATTATGCTCGAAAGTTTGAATGGGTGGGTTGGCAGAGCCGGAGCCCACGCTAGCAGAGCTTGTTGCGTAGACCCTGAATCCTACCGTCCGATCACAGAACCCCGGGTAACGGTAGAATTTAGATGCCAAAGTTTCTTTTGCTCATCAAAGCCGGACACTGCCTGTCCCATTCAACTGACTTCAACTGACTGTCTGCTCTCAC